GAAATGCCCTGATCTGTGATTTCATCAGGAATCCCTTCTCAAGTGAAAACTTTGAAGATCTGTTCTACAATCTGCTCAGTAGACATCATTGTATGAGGGATTTCTTTAAAGTCCAAGAGGCATAGTCTACTGTACAATTATCAACACAAACCAGTGTACTGTGGTGGTGTTTTCAAGTGGACCAATCAGACTCATTGTAATACACTGAAATGGCATCTCAATTAAAAGTAAATATGAGTGGTGTTGGAAACATGGCCCTCCAGTCGGATTGCTGGTACTGTATGTGGGACAGATGGCATACCATCTCTCCAGCTCTATCTTTATCTAGGCCAGCAAAACATGCCCATAATTCCATCCAGTTTTTCTCCCTTTCCACCCCAGCCCTCAAAATAGAGGTAAAGGTCAATGACCTCCTAGAATGGATGTACTCTTTAATATTTTGAATTATCCTGGAAAGCATAAACAGCACAGACTTGGTTAGGGTCTTGAAAAAAAGAGAACACCCTGGAGATACATTCTGAACCTTCATACAGTACTTTGAGTATGTCTTACTCAGTACACACACTTGAGATAAATATCAAAAACAAAAACAGGAAACAATAGCAAACACATTTTATCGTCCTTCTTCAAAAGGCAATATCTCAAGTTGTGGAACACCTAGGATGACATTTTCTCTTTCCAGGTCTTCTCTAATGTGTCTTCTGACCTGCATAAAAAGTGAAAGTGATTCAACAAACAATAAAAAATTTGGCAGGGATTTTTCTGATGGTTGGTCCTGGAATTATTTTTCCTCTTTCCTGGAGAGGTGCAATAAATAGCAGAAATCAATTCAACGTCTAATTTTTTCAGTGTGTTTTCCTGTTGTATTGACTTCTGGCTGTGGACATTATGTTGTTGGAGAAAAAAATGTTTTTGCACATTTTTTAACACTTCTGGTGTGTATGCATGACAGATTGACTAAATGGAAAAGACAGACAATGCAAGGACAGCTAAGAACCCTCTCTTTGCTAAAGCCCTCCCTAAAATGTCTCTAAATGGCCAGAAATCGATGAATGGCAGCTGTTTCTTCCTATTACATCAGCTTTTTTGGTAGCCCGGTCGGTTTGAAAACTTATGGGGCCCATCGGCAGACATTTCTTTTTTGTTTATTACAGTATATGTTCCACGTGGATTTACACGGAAAAGTTTTGTTCTACAAAAGTAAATTTTTCAAAGGTAAGGATCTCATGTCTTTTGGTGAAGATTTGCTTTTGTGATTGCATTTTGCTGGAGAATCTATTATTACTGATTGACTTCGGACCTCTAAATTGAAATGCTAGATATACTTTCAGAAATGATTTGCTTTATGCTTTTGTATCTGGATACG